GAATACCCCAATTTGGGATAATTTCTGAATTCAACTTATGTGTTTATGAATATAATCCATTCAAAGCAGTACGCTCTCAGGAAGGCCACAACATGTTGGCCTAAGCATCAGCCAAGACCGAGATGTGGCATATCCCAGATAGCTCAGAAGATACAAACTTTGGCAGTAGAAGTCTATGCAATCACATCTAATCCATAGTCTAATTTTTCTAATTCTTCAAATATTTAATTTTTTTGTCTATGGATTTTATTATTCTTTTCGAAAAGAGATATGACTAATATGAATATGTGTCAGAAATGAAATGTGACAGAACAAAATTAAATGAAGATATAATGAAAATAAATAAATCCAATAACAGCAAAGAAATTAAAATATACTACTTCTTACCTTCACTGCTTGTCTAAGTTTGTATGGCTCCTGAATTAAGCCAGAAGCATTGTGAATATCCAGTCGCATACGATTCAAAGTGCAATCATTCCTCTTTCTTTCACTAATTTCTATATGAAGTTCATTGTGAGTTGCCTGTAATTTTTCACTTAATTCTTTATCTTGCAGTTCGAGGCTGCTGTTTATTTTCTGCAGTCCTTCTAGCTCTTCTTCCATCTAAAAATTACGTATTGTTGAATACTTTTTGTATGATCTATAGTAATTTTGTGTAAGTATTGCAATTTTAGGAGATTCATACCTCTGCCATTTTTTGCTTTAATTCCCTAATTTGCCTTTCTTTTGGCTCAATTTGATTCTTGAGATCCTTAATTTTATAAGAAAGTACAAATTTGTATTTTTCAAGTTCTTGATTTTTTCGTTTCAGTTCATAAATTCTACCTTCCTAAATTCAAAGGTTTTGACATTTTTAGATTTCAAAGGTTCATGTTTTTACAACTCATAGATATAGTATAAGATTAATTTCAAAACAACCAGCAATAAAAGTAATTATATTGTATGTACTTTCTCTTGGATTGTTGCATCTCTTTCTTGTATTTCTTTCTTGAGATCTATAATGTTATTTTCCTGATTGGCTGTAATTTCCAAGAATCTTCTCAGTTCTGCATTTAATTGTGAGATTTGATGCTTACTTTCTTCAATTTCTTTCTGAGAGCTAGAAAAAAGAGGAATGAAAATAATATAATGTATTTCTTTGATTTGAATATATTCAAATTCATAAATCATTCATGATTATTTAATTTATATTAATAAACTATGTCCACTTCTGCTTCCATATAATTCCATTTTCTGCCTTCTTGTATATGTACTACAGATAAAATATTGAAATTGTGTATAGAAAAGTTCTTTATTTGTAGAAAATGACATTTTTGGAGATCTTGATTTGATAAAGTAGATTTTTTTACAAAGCTTCTGTTATTGTGTTACTGCTTTTCATTTTTCAAATTTGTGAAACAACTTCTTGTTTCTTTAAAATATCTACTCAAATGCAACTTTATTGAATATAAACCAATTCCCATTTTCATTAAAATTTCTGAATTTCCAAGATTACAAATGTTTACTATTTTTTCGCCCCATCTGTTCTGTTCTGATCTCATTACTCATTGAACAGGGCTCAGAGATTCCTTTTGAATTTGACACTTTTTATAGATTTCAACCTTTTAAAAAAGCTGCAAATCAGAGTTGTTGTTTATGATGTGCTTTTTTTAAACATTGTAATTTTTCACCAGTGTTTCTTAGAATTTCTGTTATAATAGCAATTTTCACTGTAGTTAAAAATGATTCATGACTATTAACTCAAAATTGAATGTTGAGAATACACTTTTGGAAATATTTGTGAGGCTTTAGGTATTATATATTTGAATACATCATTATGTTGGAAAGATACATTGGCCATCATTTGAAATAAAAATGTAATGAAATACAAAGGTTGATGCAAGAGAGTTGATCTTTCTTAATTTTCAGAGTATTAACTTGAATAATATTTTATGTTTAAATGAATGCTCATGCATATCATTAGTTTTATCAGTTTATTAAAGGAAAGGATGGTGGAAAGGATGATGTTTAATCAAGGTTTTTTCACTTAAGAACTCATGATACAACTCATTTTTACATAATTTGCAAGAAGGACGCAACACTCATTTAGTTTCTTTGCCAAAGCAACTTAATGCAGTTTCATACAAACTACATCATGAACTTGCAGTTTCATGCAAACTGCAAACATGACATACTCAGCAGCCCCAAGCAGCTAGCTCATAATGGAGGATTATCCAATTTTAAAAAATTGTAAATGTTAACGGAGGATTACTCCATAGTGCGCTCAACACTCCTGAAGGAGCTAGATGTGTTGCGTCTGTATAAACACAACAAATTTAAAATAAAATTTTAAAAAATAATAAAAAAACCTCTTTAAGTGCCAAGAGCTCAAACATGCAAAGCAACTTCATTAATAGATTCGACATGTGAATTTAAATCTAGGAAAGTTTATAAGTTAACTTTGCAAGAAAAAAGTTGTCCCATGCTTTTTTGCCATTTCTTTGGTGACTGAAATATAAATCTTGTTGGATTACGAAATAAATTCAAGAATTTACGTTAATGATGAATGATTTTTGAATTCTCAATATATTCTCAGAAGTAGAACCAAAACATTACACAAACTAAATTTTGTCATAAATGGCTCTAAATAATAAAAAAGCAACAACAAAAGTAATTCTCTAAGATATAATCTATGGTATTCTGGAAGTAATTTTTCAATTTACAGTCATCATGAGTCATAAAATAATTGTAGTGAAACAACATGTGAGAAAATAGTTGTTGTTTTTTTACTCAAAAAGATCTTCACTGCACTTGAACAAAATCTAAATCTTTATTCATTGAAATATTCTCCAAATTTTGTGTTCTACATCACAAAAGCCACAATTCTGTTGAGTTTGTGGCTTTCTATTAACAAAATTGTGATTGTAAGGACACATATTTTTAGATGAAAACAGTTTTGGGTAGTGTTGTTAGGGTACAGATAATTAATTTTTAACAGTTATTCAGACATGTATTTGGAACTTTGATAAACAAAAATTATTTGAACTAATGAAAAGTTTAATTCTCTTCACGAAATGGCTCACAAAACTTGTGATGAAGGGGACATTCATGTTTGCTTGAAGTAGTTTAATTCTATGGTGAGAAGAGATTTGTAATGATTGAAAGAAACACTAGTAATGCAGTATTACTTTTAAAATGATTATTATGATTTCTGCAATACTAAGTTGTTATAACTGAACATTACCAAGTAGAGAAATGAGAAGCCACTCTTTATGGCCAGCGTCCATTAATGATTGAACAGTCTGCCATCGGTTAAAAGCAATCAAAATAAATGAGATGTAGGTGAAGGTGTAAGTGTATGGTTAATAATCGACTTGATTAATTATAAATCTTGGTTATCTTCTCAGTTTACTAACTTCAACCATGTTTGTTGTTTGCTGTTTATTGGTCTAATGAAATTAAGTAATGAATTAGACCAATATTAATGACATTTCTAATGACAATACTAAATGCCAAACTAATGACATTACTCATCCATTGTAGAAACACATTCTATGGGAAGGTAGTGCTATAAGGGAGTCTGTTGTCTAGAAATATTTGATCCTCTAAAGTTTCATAATTAGTTAAACTTTTTTGTAACCTGTGCAAATTACAAGAAGGTTGGACTGTAATTAACAAACCTGATGAATTTCTTTTTAGTGACTCCTATTTCTCCTCTGAGTCTGACAATTGTATCTCTTTCTTCTTTCAATTTATCTTCAAAGTTGGTTTTTGTTTGAAGGATATCTCGATCTGCATCATCTTCAATTTGCTTTTTTATTTCTTCATGTTCTTTAATTCGAACTGCTGCCTCTTCAAGAAGCTGAAAAGTTCATGTTTAAAAAATCACTTGAATTCTGTGTTGTTGAGTTGGAGTATATCAATTGCAGTTGCAAAGAAAGATGTAAAAGAGTTTTTATTGCCCAAGTCCATGGGTAATAATCATAGCCTTATGTAAGTTATATATGTTAAATATTGAAATTTAATGAAGATATTTAATTTCTTGATGTAAAACCGGATAGGAAATTGAAAAAAATATTGAAACATTTTATTGCTGAAGATTAGGAAATAAAAATGGAAACTATTATGAGCATTATCAAGATCAGCAAACAAAATAATGCTTCATGAAGTTCATAAATGTCTAATTATTTACCAATAATATCTCAAAATTATTAATTTTGATGAACTTATGCAAACAAATTTGTATCAAGTTATTATACTAAGGTCAAAATATAATGCTAATGAAGAAAAATACTAAATACAGTACCTCTTCAATATGTAATTGTTTTGTATGAAGCTGTTCTTCATAATCGTCTGTTAAGTCTTGAATAGCTTGTCTTTTTGACTCAGTCAAGTCATTAATTTGCCTGCAGAAAAATAATTTTCATTAGTTTATTTTTTAAACAATTACTTCATGACATTATCATCCATGAAAAGACCCTTACTGAAGAAAACTCTTTTTCATATCTTCTGCCCTGTTCTCTGAAGCTGCAAATTTGTCATATTCTATTATTAATTTGGAGTTAAATGAAGCTTCAAGAGATGCTATAATAGCTTCAAAATCTTCTTTCATTTTTGCTATGTCAGCATTAATGTTATTTATTTCTTCTGTGTGCTCATCCTCCAATTGCTGTAAATGTAATTTTCACAGACTTTGTGATGAATGAGTACAAACCTCATTAAAAAATTGAGTTCAAAATTAGTACAAAAAAGTTTATTAAAACTATTTTCTTTTTTAAAATAATTTCTACTTTGTTTCGTAAAACACAGTGTTATGAAAACATACTTCACCTAAAAGGAATACAAGGAACCTCATGGCACATTGCAGAGTCCCTTGTCTTTTATGTCTGCATGATGATTACAAATCATCAAATAATAATAATTTTTAAAAAATAATATTTTTACACAAAAAGAACTTAACTAGCTGTAAAAATAAAGTTTAAACTTGGAATAAACGTGCTTTAATTCAATCCAAATCATACCTCAATCAATTCTTTGAGTTCTTTAATAGATTGACTATAACTAGCATGTATTTCTGCTACTTTCTCTGTGTGTTCTGTTTCAAGCTGCTGCTGCTGGTAACTGTGTTCCATCACCAATTCTTGCATTCGCAATTTGAGGTCTTTGATGGCATTTGTTTTGTCCTCTAGCTCATCCTTGGCAACAAGAATATCATTGAAGTATGTGTGGGATGGCTCAAGTTTCACGGTTTTTCCTTCTACGTCAAGTAATTTCCATAAGATTATGGTGCCACCTTCACAGCAAGTAATAAGCATCATATCATCATAAGTCAAACATAACTGAAATGAAGAAACATCATTGTTTTCATTATTATTTATAATTTCTTTGTACATAAATAAAGTTTCAAAAACTTACAGCAGAAACAGGCTTGTGGTGGATACGATACTCAGTAAATCCTGATCCCATATCTAAAGGATATTCGACAGAGAAAACACAACCATTTCCTCCTGTCACAAACAGCATCAGATTCGAGCGAGACAGGGTAACGAAACTTAATTTGTCATTTTCTACAATGCAAGTTTCTCGGAGAACCTAGAAAAAGATATTTTACAATAAATAAATATTACAAAATTCATGCACATAAACCATTAAATAAAAAAAAAGCATTGAATATCATTAAACAGGTATACTACTTTCATCATTAAACATAAACTACTTTATTAATTTATTGAAATAATGTTATGAAATTAATTTGTAGTGTATGTGAAAATGAAATTAAAAAGAAGTTTACCAATTTTGCACATGAATTACATGAAACTTGTAAAAGAACACCATAACAGAAGTGGTTAAGAAAATCCTATCAAGAGTCATTTCTAAATAGGATCACATAAAGTGATCATAAACAAAGAGTTGTGAAGATTGGAGGCTGCCC